AAAATGGGAGAAATTGGGGGGAAATGGCAAAAAATGGGGGAAATTGGGGGGGAAATGAGGGGGAATGGGGCAAAAATGGGGGAAATTGGGGGTTAGGGGCGAGGAAATGGGGAAAAATGGGGAGGAAACGGGAACAAAATGGGGGTTAGGAAGGGAAAAATGGGGAGAAATTGGGGGGAAATTGGGGGAAAATGGGAAAAATGGGGGAAATTGGGGGTTAGGGGTGAGGAAGTGGGGAGAAATGGGGAGAAAATGGGGGGAAATGGGGAAAAATGGGGAGGAAACGGGAACAAAATGGGGGTTAGGAAGGGAAAAATGGGGAGAAATTGGGGGGAAATAGGGAGGAAATGGGAAAATTGGGGGGAAAATGGGGGTTGGGGTGAGGAAATGTGGAAAAATGGGGGTTAGGAGGAGGATAATGGGGAAAAATGGGGAGAAAATGGGGAAAAATGGGGGTGAGGGGTGAGGAAATGAGAGTTAGGGATGATAAAATGGGGGGAAATCAGGGTTAGGAGAGAAAAAATGGGGGAAAAAATGGGGTTAGGAAAGAGAAAATGAGAAAAAAATGCCCTCATAAACCCCCCCAATCCCCTCACAGACCCCCCAAATTCCCAACTAAACCCCCCGATCCCCTCATAAACCCCCCCAATCCCCTCACAGACCCCCCAAATTCCCAAATAAACCCCCCGATCCCTTCATAAACTCCCCAAAATCCCCTCACAGACCCCCCAAATTCCCAAATAACCCCCCCGATCCCCTCATGAACCCCCCCAATCCCCTCAGGGCCCCCCAATCCCCTCATAAACCCCCCCCAATCCCCTCACAGACCCCTCGATCCCCTCATGAACTCCCCCAAACCCCCTCAGGGACCCCTCCTCACCGAGCTCCTCCTCGCTCAGCCCCTCCTCCAGCGTCTCCAGGGCCCTCCGGAAATACTCGGCGGTGTCGGGATCGAGGCGAGGCCCCGACTGTCGCCGCTGTCGCGACAGGTCCGGCCCGGGGGGAGACCCCGTGTGCGCCGCCATTTTGGGCGGGCGGGGAAAAGGGCGGGAACGGCGCCGAAGTCTCGGAGAACCTCGCGAGGTTTCCTTGGTCACGCCCCTCACGTCGTGTCAATCAAGCATTGCCCCGCCCCACGCAGGTGTTTGACCACGCCCATCCCCGGCGGCTGTCAATCAAGCATCGCCACGCCTGATTTGCATAATTTATTAATGTCAGTCGTTTCTCGCCCCGCCTTTTTTGGGGGGGGTCTCAACTCTCTGCCTGTCAATCAGTTAGTTAACTAATTAATTAATTAGTTAATCAATAGCCGATTTCCCTCCTACGGCTCCGCCCTTTTCCGTGTCTCTCACCCCGCCCACAATCAATTGCCTCATCGATCGTTCCCCATTAAATCGACAGCCCACAGCCCTGTCAATCACCCGTTGCCACGCCTCCTTTTTAATTAATCAATCGATCAATCCCTGTCAATCACCCTTCCCCTCACGCGCCACCTGTCAATCATCGATGGCCGCGCCCTTTCCCCCCCTCACGCGCCTCCCGTCAATCATCCCCAAACCCCGCCCCCTCTCCCATCGCCCCCCGCGCGCCGCGCGTCCCTCCCCCTCTCCCTTCCCCCGCTCTCTCTGTGCCCCCTCCCCGCCGTTCCCCCCTCCCCGCTCTCCCCTCTCCACCCGTTCCGGCCCTCACCGTTCCCCTTCCCCCCATCCCGCTCTTTTTTCTTTTTCTTTTTTTATTTTTTTCAATTTTATTTTCACCGTTTCCCCGCGATTTTCCCCCATTTCTTCCCTCCCTCCCTCCCCTTCGCCATGTCCGAGTCGCTGGGCTGGTGCGTGGAGGCCGTGAGGGCCGCGGAGGAGCCGGCGCTGTCGCGGGCGCTGCTGGCGCTGCGAGGCCGCCACACGCGGCGGGCCGGGGGCCCCGCTCGGATCCGGGAGCGCGGAGGCCTCGGGCCGCTGCTGGAGCTCGTGGGGCCCGAGAAGCCCCGGCGGATCCTGGAGCTGGCGCTGAGCGTGATCGGGAATTGCTGCACCGAGCGCGGCTGCCGGCGCCAGGCCCGGAGCCTCGGAGGGATCCCGCGCTTGGGTGAGTGAGGGGGGAGCGGTGGGAGGGGAAAATGCAAAAGAACTGAGGGAAAAAAGTGTCGGGAATGTGGGGGAAAATGTCGGGAATGTGGGGGAAAGTGCCCGGAGTGAGGGGAAAAGTGCCAGATGTGAGGGGAAAAGTGGCAGATGTGAGAAGAAAATGTAAAAACTGAGGTAAAAAGTGTCGGGAATGTGGAGAAAAATGTCGGGAATGTGGGGAAAAGTGCCCGGAGTGAGGGAGAAATGCAAAAAACTGAGGGAAAAGACGTCTTGAATGTGGAGAAAAAGATCGGGAATGTGGAGGAAAGTGCCGAGAGTGAGAAGTGTCGGGAGTGAGGGGAAAAGTGCCGGGTGTGAGGAGAAAAGTGACAAAACTGAGGGAAAAAGTATCGGGAATGTGGAGAAAAATGCCGGGAGTGAGGGGAAAATGCGAAAAACTGAGGGAAAAAAGATCGGGAATGTGGAGAAAAAGATCGGGAATGTGGAGGAAAGTGCCGAGAGTGAGAAGTGTCGGGAGTGAGGGGAAAAGTGCCGGGTGTGAGGAGAAAAGTGACAAAACTGAGGGAAAAAGTGTCGGGAATGTGGAGAAAAATGCCGGGAGTGAGGGGAAAAGTGCCGGGGGTGAGGAGAAAAGTGACAAAACTGAGGGAAAAAGTGTCGGGAATGTGGAGAAAAATGCCGGGAGTGAGGGGAAAAGTGCCGGGGGTGAGGAGAAAAGTGACAAAACTGAGGGAAAAAGTGTCGGGAATGTGGAGAAAAATGCCGGGAGTGAGGGGAAAAGTGCCGGGGGTGAGGAGAAAAGTGACAAAACTGAGGGAAAAAGTGTCGGGAATGTGGAGAAAAATGCCGGGAGTGAGGGGAAAAGTGCCGGGGGTGAGGAGAAAAGTGACAAAACTGAGGGAAAAAGTGTCGGGAATGTGGAGAAAAATGCCGGGAGTGAGGGGAAAAGTGCCGGGGGTGAGGAGAAAAGTGACAAAACTGAGGGAAAAAGTGTCGGGAATGTGGAGAAAAATGCCGGGAGTGAGGGGAAAAGTGCCGGGGGTGAGGAGAAAAGTGACAAAACTGAGGGAAAAAGTGTCGGGAATGTGGAGAAAAATGCCGGGAGTGAGGGGAAAAGTGCCGGGGGTGAGGAGAAAAGTGACAAAACTGAGGGAAAAAGTGTCGGGAATGTGGAGAAAAATGCCGGGAGTGAGGGGAAAAGTGCCGGGGGTGAGGAGAAAAGTGACAAAACTGAGGGAAAAAGTGTCGGGAATGTGGAGAAAAATGCCGGGAGTGAGGGGAAAAGTGCCGGGGGTGAGGAGAAAAGTGACAAAACTGAGGGAAAAAGTGTCGGGAATGTGGAGAAAAATGCCGGGAGTGAGGGGAAAAGTGCCGGGGGTGAGGAGAAAAGTGACAAAACTGAGGGAAAAAGTGTCGGGAATGTGGAGAAAAATGCCGGGAGTGAGGGGAAAAGTGCCGGGGGTGAGGAGAAAAGTGACAAAACTGAGGGAAAAAGTGTCGGGAATGTGGAGAAAAATGCCGGGAGTGAGGGGAAAAGTGCCGGGGGTGAGGAGAAAAGTGACAAAACTGAGGGAAAAAGTGTCGGGAATGTGGAGAAAAATGCCGGGAGTGAGGGGAAAAGTGCCGGGGGTGAGGAGAAAAGTGACAAAACTGAGGGAAAAAGTGTCGGGAATGTGGAGAAAAATGCCGGGAGTGAGGGGAAAAGTGCCGGGGGTGAGGAGAAAAGTGACAAAACTGAGGGAAAAAGTGTCGGGAATGTGGAGAAAAATGCCGGGAGTGAGGGGAAAAGTGCCGGGGGTGAGGAGAAAAGTGACAAAACTGAGGGAAAAAGTGTCGGGAATGTGGAGAAAAATGCCGGGAGTGAGGGGAAAAGTGCCGGGGGTGAGGAGAAAAGTGACAAAACTGAGGGAAAAAGTGTCGGGAATGTGGAGAAAAATGCCGGGAGTGAGGGGAAAAGTGCCGGGGGTGAGGAGAAAAGTGACAAAACTGAGGGAAAAAGTGTCGGGAATGTGGAGAAAAATGCCGGGAGTGAGGGGAAAAGTGCCGGGGGTGAGGAGAAAAGTGACAAAACTGAGGGAAAAAGTGTCGGGAATGTGGAGAAAAATGCCGGGAGTGAGGGGAAAAGTGCCGGGGGTGAGGAGAAAAGTGACAAAACTGAGGGAAAAAGTGTCGGGAATGTGGAGAAAAATGCCGGGAGTGAGGGGAAAAGTGCCGGGGGTGAGGAGAAAAGTGACAAAACTGAGGGAAAAAGTGTCGGGAATGTGGAGAAAAATGCCGGGAGTGAGGGGAAAAGTGCCGGGGGTGAGGAGAAAAGTGACAAAACTGAGGGAAAAAGTGTCGGGAATGTGGAGAAAAATGCCGGGAGTGAGGGGAAAAGTGCCGGGGGTGAGGAGAAAAGTGACAAAACTGAGGGAAAAAGTGTCGGGAATGTGGAGAAAAATGCCGGGAGTGAGGGGAAAAGTGCCGGGGGTGAGGAGAAAAGTGACAAAACTGAGGGAAAAAGTGTCGGGAATGTGGAGAAAAATGCCGGGAGTGAGGGGAAAAGTGCCGGGGGTGAGGAGAAAAGTGACAAAACTGAGGGAAAAAGTGTCGGGAATGTGGAGAAAAATGCCGGGAGTGAGGGGAAAAGTGCCGGGGGTGAGGAGAAAAGTGACAAAACTGAGGGAAAAAGTATCGGGAATGTGGAAAAAAAGATCGGGAATGTGGAGAAAAGTGCCCGGAGTGAGGAGACAAATGTGGGGAGTGAGAAGGAAATGCAAAAACTGAGGGAAAAGATGTCGGGAATGTGGGGAAAAATATCGGGAATGTGGGGAAAAGTGCCGGGAATGTGGAGGAAAGTGCCCGGAGTGAGGAGGAAATACAAAAACTGAG